CTTGCACTCCCGCCGGCCTTGCAGGTCCACCGCCGGGCCCCTCATGCAGTGGAGCTGCAAGGCCGCCGGCGGCGGCTGGGACCGTTGGGGGCGGTGTGTGTGGCCTTATGACACACTTCCGGTGATGTCAGGGGGTGTGGCCTTATGATACACTACCGGTGATGTCAGGGGGTGTGGCATATGCTAATGAGTTATGCTAATGAGTTCCCCTAGCTCTTTTTCTACGAAACGACCCCTGACAAAAGGTCAGAGTGGGAGGGAGGGAGGGAGGGCAGGAAGACCGAGAGCTGGAGAAGTCTGGGAGGGCAGGAGGGGCCAGCGAGGCAACAGATTACTCTCTGGAGGCCTGCTGGCATTGAAGCCTAACCCTGTAGATGAGGGTGTAATAGGGAGAGACCCCCAGTCAAAGAACCGCCCAGTCCTGGGAGCGTGTGCAGAGTCTTGATATCGGCATGGAGAGCAGGTCAGAGGATAGGCAGACTGCCAGGCCGTTAATAAGGTATTTGAACCTGGGACTTTGTTATCTAGGAAACCAACATTAGACTAACCTATCCCCCTGTTATTGGACACTAACGCAATATCCAGGTGGAGGAGCAAGCAGCCCCCCAGCTCTGGGGCTTCTCAGTCGCTAGAGGAGGCCAGGGCAAAGCCCTGCGTTATGAACCACAAGCCCTGGCGTCTCCACATTTGAAGTTCTGTGTGTGGGTTGGGGAGAGGCCTTGGCTTACGTACACACCTTGAGCCCCTGATGTTCTGTGTTGGGCCATGACTGTGTCATTTGATTTAGCCCCGTTGGCTTGATTTATTTATAGCAAGACTATGGGCTTGTTTATCACTTTTTGAACCTTAGGACAGTGTCTCATTTATTTAACGTAGAACTTACTGGATTTGGAAGAGCAAGTTTCCCCCCCGCAACATTTCTTTCTCCTTTTGGGAACTTCTGAGCCCCTGCCTGCCAGAGTAGACCAGTATCCTGACTGCATGCTACTTCGTATAAAGTGTTATCAGGCTTGGCTTTCTCTGGCTTGTGCTCTTGGCCTTCTCTTCTGGCTCGTGCGTTACTGAAAAAGATGGTACATTGGGGTGCTTCTTTGTTTCTTTATGTACTTTTTTATATACTCGCTTCTTCCCCAGTGGGGGCCCAAAGTGGCTTACAACACCTTCTCCATGTTATCCTCACAACAACCCTGTGAGGTAGGTTAGGCTGAGTATAACTGACCCACAGTCACCTGGCCAGCTTCTATGGCAGAGTGGGGATCTGAACCTGGGTCTCTCAGATCCTAGCTCAGCACTCTAACCACTACACGACTCTGCGTTTCATAAGTACGCTAGCTTATTTGTGTATTTTAAGAGAGTATTTTCCAACCAGTGCATGCATTCTTCCACCAAGGCTTCTGGCCCTGCTTGTGATAAATGCATTTCTTCCTTGCATCAGCACTTTCTGAGTATGTACTTTCCCCCTTTGTTGTAGATGGTTAACATTTATGACTCCAGAAAGGAGCAACTTTGCATCGGTCCTTACTTCTGGGTGCCTTTTCCTCATACGGATTTCTGGCTAGAACAGAACGATGAGTACTTATTGCAGGTAATGGATGAGATGGCCGTAGAAAAGGGTGGTCTGCAGCTGTTGCCTTTTCATGACCTCCCAACCTTCCCTTTAACAGATATTACCCAAATTGCCTTATTATTTAAATTATTTAAACTTTGGGGAATTATGACTATTAAATTGTGTCAGCAAGCTGCCATGGTGTTCTGTGTTACTTGTATCTTTGTACAGTTGCGCACCCCCCCCCTTGCCTGTTCGCCACTATTTTATTCTGCTGTAATGCCTAAGCCAAACAACTGGAGGATGTATTGGGGGAGTTCGCTTCACTGCCAGCTTGTTGTTTTTAGAGCCTGGGAACTGCACCTGTGTTATGTCTGGAGATAGCCTGGTTCTCAGGGAATGAGCGCGAAACCGTTTTCGTTCACCCGCCAGCGGGAAGGTGACCCATTGGTTCTGTACCTGTTTCAAATCCCTTTATTATGCTTGTCCTAACCGTTTGTAGTTAGTTCTAACAAAGAACGTGTTTGAGTGTCTTTCCAATGCTTTGAAATAAATTTTGCTTTCCTTGAAAACGTGGATTTATTCTCGATGCTTGGGGATCCAACAAATTGCAATTGGCATATAGCGCAGGAACATAACCTTTGTATACCAGAGTCAGAATCCCCAGAGCCCACGAATAGATGAGGAGACCAGGTTGAATGAAATAATTGGTCTTTTACTTAAGATTTTAAAGCATCCAATAATCACTGCAAACACACACACAATACGGAGCTAGGAAATTAGAGTTGAAATCATAGAGATGTTTGCATTAGCAGGAAGTATCGTTGGGGGGTGATATGTTACCTGTCCAACGTGATGAGCAGATCTTGCAGCGAAAGAGTAACTAAAGGGGGGGTGTGTGGAGTGTGAGCCGGCCAGTGACACACGTGGAGCCAAAATGATCAGGAATGGACCCAAGAAGGTAGAGAAGAGAGTGAGCTCAGGGGGAGTTCACCTTAAATAGCCAAATTGTGTCCTGAGGCCATAGTCATGTGGTCACAGGTTCCCAGACAAAAAGAATAATATCTCAGGAAGGCTAAGACAAAAGAAATGACGGTTGGGCAACTTAGGGTTGATGGGCTTAATTGGAGTGACACCTTGCGGTAGGTGAGAGACAAGGGGAAGGAAAGGAGGATCCAATCATGTCCAAGATTCGGTGCTTTACATTAAGAGCCAATGCTTGACTTGATGCTTCTCTGGATGGGTGGCAGGAAGGCTTAATCCTTTTGTCTTTAGCTGGGCAGCAGCCTTTGTTGTAGGATGACTCATGAGAAAGAAGAATGTGTTACTTTTCAGGTGAAGCTAACATTCATGGGTGGGGGGAAAGATGCTGCATGATGGAGATGAGATGCCTTCGTGGCCTCTGTTTAGGAATGTCTGGGCTGCTGCTGTCTCTGTGTTCATGGAGGCCAGGGCTGTTGGTCTGCATCCCGGTGCTTGTGTGGCTACAGAGGGTGCAGGGGCACTTTCTTCTGTAGTCCTGGGTCCACATCTGGCTTGGCACGTGTTCATGGCACAAGGCTTCCCTTGGCCACAGTGTACAGTCCATAGTCCAGCATAGGGCACTTCACTGAGAACCACAGCTCTGTCCATTGCCCTGGCACGCACTCTTCACAGTCCAGCAAGGGCAGTGATATTAAAAGTCTTCATGGCAACACAGATGCCTTTTAATTTGCTTGCTACAGTGTACTAGGGCCCCGGTCACACGGAGCATTAGGCACGCTAGAGAGACGGAAGATAGGCGGATTTTCTGGGCGCGATCTCACCGCCACATCTGGGAAGCATAGAGCTCCCGTGGTGCACCCGAGGCTTCCCGCCGAAGATGCGGGGTAAAAAACTAGTACCTCGGAGGTACTAGTTTCCGGAAACCGCGGGGCAAGGGCGGGCATCTGATCGCGTTTCCGGTGGTAGTTCCGGCGCCCGCCCATGTCCCCTCGCAAAAAGGTTTTTCCCCCCCCAAGTCTCTACGGATGCACACAAGCACCCAATGGAGCATGAGCACATTTCAGTTTTAAAAACAAAACAACCCCGTTTGCCGCGCCGCTCCACTTCTTTGCCGCGTCTGTGATCGGCACCTCCCCCCTAACCACGGGAGCTCGACGGGACCTTAACCCGACGCCTGATCGCGCAGTTGCGCGTTAGTTTGCTCTGGGGCAAACAGCCACACACACACATACCCCGCATTTTCCTGCCCGTGTGGCCGAGGCCTAGATGTAGCTTTTAAACATTTCTAAATCACGGCCATACTGTCCTGCCTTTTAAGGCGACTCTCATCTTCTCTGATCGGCAGCGGCTTTCCAAGTCTTTCCCTGTCGCCTGATCCTTTTAACAGGGAATAGATCCGGAGCAGAGGCAAAGAGCCAAGGAGATCGGTGAATCATGTTTTCCCTGTTAGTGTACCCATGCAGAAAGGCATGGGCTCAATCTCCAACCTGGAGAACAGCTCTCAGTCAGAGTCAATAACACGAAGCTATATAGACACATGGTCTGACTCAAGAAAAGGCCTCCGTTTTAAATGGTTTTCTTTTCCTTTCCTTTTTGCAGAATCTTTCCACGTCACCTCAGGCTGAACCACCCCATTTCGTTCCCCACATCCGAGCAACACTGTTGTGTTTGAAAGAGCATCCGTTCCCCGATAAGACCCTGTTCCCCAGCAGGAAACCTTGGATCTATATAAAGAACAAAGATGGCCTATGGGAGAGGGCTTCTTCTGAGCAAACCTAACCTGCAGAGGAGAAGTGATGGATTACTAAACAACGAGCTCACAGTCAGAGACTCAGTTGGACTACAGAAATGTGTTGCAATATACATATGTGGCCTAAGAGGCATGATACAGAAAATAATGTATTATGCCTAATTTTCTACTGCGCAAGTAGACCACAATACGTGGTTTAATACTCGTTTGCACAGCAGGCTGTCTAGGCGCAGGCATCACAATCTGACAATACCTAGGTGGATCCAACAAAGATATTATTGCAGTAACATCATAGTGACCGGATTCACCCACCAGCTATTCTTGCAATAATGTAACAATGGATTTACCTAGACAGCATCATTCTGTTAAGACAGCAAGAAGAAGGGCTGCACCAATGAAGCCAGGAAACAAAACAGTGGTGCCGTGGAAATAAATTGTATTCACCCCATGTGCCCCAATGTGTTTTGCTCAGCGCTTTTTTTGGAGGGGGAGTCTATATAAACATTAAAATAAACAAAAGACACAAGATTTATTTCCCAATACTAAAAGACAAGTTAAAAGATTATACGTGTACAGAAAAAATATTTTATGTAAATATATTTATGAAAAATATGTACGAAGTGCATTGTGATGTCTTGCAAAACAATGTAAACATATAAGAGGACAAAAATAGAGGAGCAATAATCCATTGCAAACAGAAAAGTTATCAAAACTAACCTGCACCATTTAAAAACATTTTTTCTTTACACGTATAACCTTTTAACATGTCTTTTAGTATTGGGAAATATTGTTTTTGTGGAAAACACATTGGGGCACATAGAGTGGAAAAAATTTTTATTCCCACAGTAGCACTGTTTGTTTTTTCATCCCTTTCCATATAAGAGCACGATATCTGCATTTAAGATTGTATATGTTGCATTCCATGCTGCCCTGGTTTTCTCTGTTTTTATTCATCAGCAAAGTGTTTGACCTAAGAACAGGTGGGATTAAATTCAACTGTACCAGTAATGTTTGTTGTTGTTCAGTCGCACAGTCGAGTCCGACTCTTCGTGACCCCATGGACCAGGTCACGCCAGGCCTTCCGGTCTTCCGCCGTCCTCTGACGTTGGCTCAATTTCATGTTCGTTGCATCTATGACACTGTCTAACCATCTCATCCTTTGCCGTCCCCGTCTTCTTTGACCTTCAATCTTTCCCAGCATCAGGATCTTCTCCAGTGAGGGCTCCCTTCTCATTTGGTGGCCAAAGTATTTGAGCTTCAGTTTCCTTATCTGGCCTTCCAGGGAACAGTCAGGGTTGATTTCTTTTAGGACTGACTGATTTGATCTTCTTGCAGTCCAAGGGACTCTCAAGAGACTTCTACATTTGGTAATGTTACCAACCAATATTTAGAACTGTGCTTACAGAAGTAAAAAAATATTTTTTTTGAATGGGATAGTCTGTTTCCAGAATTTCTGCTCTTTTTAGTCTTTAAGTTTTTCAGTGTATGCCAGCCTGTCTCCACAGCTTTGGATGGCCTGTGGTTCAGCACTGGAGCTTTGCTTGCGGAAAGGCCTCTGAGGGCAAGTATGTGGTTGAGAGTAGCAGACTAATCTGGAGAACGGGGTTTGATTCCCTACTCTTCCTCCACATGAAGCCTCCTGGGTGACTTTGCTCCATCAACCTCACAGGGTGTCTGTTGTGGGGAGAGGAAGGGAAGGTCGACCGTAAGCTGCTTTGAGACTCCTTTGGGCATGTGGTGATTAGTCAGCCTTCCAAGGCTATTTGTTTCTTAAAAAGGGATCTGCTGAATCCCACTTGCACAAGCGAGCTGGGTGGTTCGTATGGGAAGGCTGACTAGAGTTGCTTTCCCCCAGACCCCAAACCCTGCATCATGTGTTTGTATATACATGCAGAGGTCATATCGCGGGGGATCGCAGTCCCCCCGGGTGAGGTACGGGGGGCGGGGCACATGACGAAGCCCCGCCCCCTGCTTCCGGCCGCCCCGCTTCTGGCCCTCATTCAGCCAGGAGGAGGCAGGAGAAGAGGGAGGGTAAGTTGCTTCCTCCCTGCCTCTCCCCACCCCTGCCTGCCTGGGGCCAGGGAGGGCCTTGGCGGGGCTTCCTTGCACTCCCGCCAGCCTTGCAGGTCCACCGCCGGGCCCCTCATGGGGCTCAGCAGTGGAGCTGCAAGGCCGCCGGCGGCGGCCGGGACCGTTGGGGGCGGGGTGTGTGGCCTTATGACACACTTCTGGTGATGTCAGGGGGTGTGGCATATGCTAATGAGTTATGCTAATGAGTTCCCCTAGCTCTTTTTCTACGAAACGACCCCTGTATACATGTGTGTGAGCGAAAGAGAGAGGGAGAGAAAGTACATTAATCGGTTATTTCAGAGTCAAAGGAGAACTGGGCAGGTAGAGAATAATCGGGTATCCCCCATGTATTCCCTGTGACTTTTTATCCCACATATAAAAAACCAGGAATCATTTCCAGTTGAGTCTCTGAATTCCTTACATCTGGAAAACAACTAAAGGGTAAGTAATGTTTTTTATGCTTCAGGGACCTATAGGAATTTCCAAAGCACATCAAAAAATCTAGACCAACCATCCTGTTTTACTGTCATTAGCCCTAGGCTGGTAGCCAGAGTCTAAGGATTCTTGCTCATGTTTCTGGCCATACCCAAACTGATATACCTGCAAGTAGAGAAGAGAATAAAACCCAGATGTTATTCAGGTGCTGCTTTTCTTGATTTCCTCCCGTGTCAAATGAAATAAAGTGCCTTACATCCCTTTTTTAACAAGTGGGTTGTAAGGAAATACTTAAACCTTAGCCTCAGTCCTGATGCAATTTATAGGTCATATAGTCCTTCATGTTGTTCTTTACGGATTGGTGCTTTCACGTGACGCTTCTACTCTACCCTTGAGCCCTCTGGAAGTACCTTTTCCTGTAGTCTTTTCCTGGCATGCCTTCTTTTCTGGGACTAACCAAGGAGGGACTTGAAAGATTCTCCTCTTCCTTTTCTTGTCCTGCAGAAACAATGCGGCTCGGGGGAGGCCCGGAGAGCCCCACCCCCAGGTCCCCCGAGCCTGCGCAGAAGCGTAGCCGCTTGGGGGAGGCCCGGAAAACCTCGCCCCCGGGCCCGCGCAGAAGCACTGTGGCCCGGGGGACACTCAGCCCTGTCGCCGGCTTCGCCAAACCCCACCGAAGCGGTAAGGGATTTGCGGGGGTGGGGGTGGCAGGGGCTTAATGGGGGGTGGTTGGAGACCCTTCTCTTCCTTCCTCTCTTTTCCTCCTTTCCTTCTCTCTTTCATTCCCTCCTTTCCTTCTCTCCTTTTCCTCCTTCCTTTCTCTCTTTCTTTCCTGCCTTCTTTTTTCCTCCTTTCCCTCCTTCTTCCCTTCTTTCTTTACCTCCTTCTTTCCTTCTTTCTTTCCCTCTTTCCTTCTCTCTTTGCATCCCCTCTTTCCTTCCTTCTTTCCTTCTCTTTACTCTCTCTCTTTCCTTTCCTCTTTCCTCCTTCTGTGGCCCAACTCTAGTGAGAAGGGGTTTAAAGTTTAAACCCCTTCTCTCTTTGCTCCCCCCCCCAGGCCAGCTGGGGAAAGGAAGATGTCAGGGGGCGGTGGCATATGCTAATAGCCGAGTAGCTCATTAGCATACCATATGCTAATGAGCTCCTGCAGCTCTTTTTCTACGAAAATACCCTTGTTTTAACCCATTAAGCGGCGTCTGATTCCTGAAGAATGAGCTTCTCCATCAGGGTCTTTGAAACTGGCCGCTGTTCTGCCTTGTATTACAAACAAAAAACGGGGGCAGGCTGCATCAGCATGTGGCTGCTGGCACCTGCCCAGCGCTCCCCCTGCTTGCTGGCTAGTTGACTTCCCCTACCCCCGTGCCCAAATCCAGTCAGGGTGGCATCCGGGAGGGTGGGCGAAGGGGCATGACACGCATGCCAACCTCGCCACCTACCTCTCCTCCTTCCTTCCATCTCAGGGGTCAAGAGGAAGGCGAAGGCACCCACAAGTCCGGGAAGAGCCAGCTCCCCATTTTTAGCAAGGGGGCTCCCGCGGCCAAGGCCCCCCCCCCATGAGACAGGGAGCTGCCTTCCATTTTCCTCCCTGTTGCTGGGCTGGCTGCTATGCTCCCAAGTGTCTTTCTGCTGCGGCAGAACGGCCCATCGGAATTTGCACCCAATCTGCACCCCCAAGGAGGATCAGTGGGTGAGCGGCAGCAGCCCAGCGCACCGCAGGGCTTCCCCCTCCCCTGACCAGACTGCTGTGCCTCGGCGAAGGGGCCGCACAGGAGTATTCAGCGACTGGCAAGGGGGCCTGGCTGGCAGCTGCAGCAGCACTGGGAGAGCTCTCTTGCCACTGCACCCACCAGAGAGGCGCCCAGGCTTGGAGGAAGACACGACTTCCATCCCCCGCCAACAAAACTTCTTTGCCCATCGGCCTGGCAGGTGAGACCAGACCCTCCCCCCCGGTGAGCGCTTTGGCACTGGCCCGGGGAGGCGGCGGGGGAGCTCTTCTGCCCTCTCACGGGCTGCAGCGCTCCGGCGCTGGCCCAGGGAGGCGGTGGGGGGGCCTCTTCTGCCCTACCACGGGCCGCAGCGCTTCGGCGCTGGCCTGGGGAAGCAGCAGGGGGCCACAGCGCGGGAAGCTGGGGGTAAGGCTTGCTGCCACCACCATTTGTTCCGGCGCCTGGGCTCCCGGAGTGGCGCTCCAGCTCGCCCAATCAGTGTGTGGGTAGTTAAAATCACCTATTACGACACAGTTACTTCGTATAGCCGCTATCTTTAATTCATTCATCATTTTATAATCCTCCTCTATCTTTTGATCTGGTGGGCGATAAACTCCCAGTGTTAAGCTTCTTTTTGGGCCCACCATTTTAAGCCATAGCAGTTCCACAAGTGAATCCAATTCTCTTACCCTCTCAATCTTACTGGCCTGTATACAGAGGCACCCCACCTCCAACCCTTCCCTCCCCCCATCCTTCCGATATAATTTATAACACATCCCACTGATTTTCCTCATCCCACCAAGTTTCTGAAGCATTCCAACTCCCTGATTTTACCTCGGGACACTTCTAGCATTTGTATATAAACACCTATAATTTCCCATATATGTTAAGCCTGCAACCTTCCTCTTCCTGCCTTGAGACCTTGCCAGGCAGTCCATATCATTAGCCACAGTCTCAATGGACAATTCTAATCCATGCATTGAGACTCCTGATCTGTGCCTGTCTCTTCGGCCCTGTGTGTGGAACAGGTAGCACTTCTGAGAAGGCTACCTTGGAGGTCCTGGCCTTGAGTTTCCTGCCTAGCAGCCTACATTTTTTCTCCAGGACCTCACAACTGCATTTCCCCACATTGTTGGTGCCAACATGTACTACGACCACTGGCTCCTCCTCAGCACTATCTACCAGCCTATCTAGAACACTCTTAATGTCCGCTACCTTTGTACCAGGCAGGCAAGTCACCATACGGTCAGTACACGAGTTTGCCACCCAGCTGTCTACCTGCCTAAGGATCGAATCACCAACTACCAAGAGTCCTCCCCCCCCTCGCCAAGGGATGGTTCCTTGGTGTGAAAGGATACCCGTTCACCAGCTGAAGAAGAGGTCCCTTCTGAGGGCACGTTCCCCTTTTCTGCAGCACGGTGCCCTATTTCCCCTCAACCCTCATGCTGCCTGACAGCGGCGAGGCTGCCAGATTCAGAGTGGGACATATCTAACAAGCCCCCGAGAGTCTTCTGCATGCGCCTAACTGCTTCTCCAGGTCAGCCACCTTGGCCTCAAGGGAGCAAACTCATTCCCTGAGAACCAGGAGCTCCTTGCATTGGGCACACACCCAAGACTTCTCTCCAGTGGGCAGACAGTCATACATATGACACTTCATGCAAAACACTGGATAGCCCCAAACCCCCTGGTGGCATTCTGGTTTCATAATTGCTTTTAAAATAATAATTATATATTATCCCCCTTTTAAAACCCTTTGTATTTATGTGGTTCTCCTTGTCAGTCCACTTACCTTACTGGGAACACCAGTCGACTAGGGCCTTGGCTTTCTTGCTCTTCCTGGGCTTCTTACAGAGTCCCTAGGCTAAGAGCCACAGGTGAAGAGCCCTTTGGCATGTGCCAGAGGCTCGTGCCTCAGGAGAGGTACCGCCTTAAATAGAAGCCTCACCCAGCAGAGGGTGGGGCCAGCAGCTATTCAATTTCACCCAGGAAATCCAATTTACAGTCAAACAATGCCCCTTTCTCACCCTATCTCAAGCAGCCAGGACTCTGCAACAACTCAAAACTCACCCACACACTCCGAAACACAGCCCCCCTATAGTACCCTCAGCTAAAGCAAATAAAAAAACACTCACCCCTCTAGCAGCTTGATCTTCCGCTCCTTCTCAGAGCTCAACTGAATCAGCTCTGCCTCTGGGGAGGTGCTGCCTTAAACAGAAGCCTCACCCAGCAGAGGGCAGGGCCAGCAGCTATTCAAATTCACCCAGGCATTCCAATTTACAGTCAAACAATGACCCTTTCTCACAGCATGTCAAGCAGCCAGGACTCCTCTGCAACAACTCAAAACTCACCCACACGCTCCCAAGCACAGCCCCCCCCACAGTACCCTCAGCTAAACCACCTCAGCTGAAAGCAAATAAAAAAAACACTCACCCCTCTAGCAGCTGTCTTCTGTTCCTTCTCAGACCTCAGCTGGATCAGCTCTGCCTCTGGCGAGGTGCTGCCTTAAACATAAGCCTCACCCAGCAGAGGGCGGGGCCAGCAGCTATTCAAATTCACCCAGGCAACCCAATTTACAGTTGAACAATGACCCTTTCTCACCCTGTCTCAAGCAGCCAGGACTCTGCAACAACACAAAACTCACCCACAGACGCCCACAGTCCCAGAATACTCCTGCTACTTCCAGGGGCTGTGGTTCCAATTTGTGGTCTCTCCTTGCAGTCCCAGAAAACTCCTATTATCCCCTGGGGCTGTCATTCCACTTTGGGGCCTGTCACTGCAGTTCTAGAACAGTCCTGCTGTCATTGCACTCTGGGTCCTGGCATTCCAGTCCCAAAACACATCTGCTACCCCCAGGTGGGTGAAAAGGACTCGTCTCTTGGACCCGATACATATGGTCGATTCTACAGCTAGAGATGGGGGGAAGCTGGATGAGGCCACGGGGCCTTAGCTGCTTGCAACAGGATCGAAGTCATTGGGAGGATGACCACTGTTGAAGTATCCATTTGAACAATATCAAAAACTGAAGCAGTGACTGTCGGGGGAGGTTGCAACATTGACAGAGTCAGCATGTTTGCCATCCATTTAATTTGAAGATACCTGAGCTGCCTCAAGAACAAAGCCCTATTTTGTCATGGTGGGAACGATTACAACTGGAATCAAGATACAGTAAAGATAAAAGGTATCTATGAAAAACCAACAGAGTTAGATAAAGTATGGATATGTACCGAGGAAAAACTGATAAAGAAACTTTATACCTTTTTATTGGATTATAATCTGCAAGATGAGGTGGTTAAACCATCTATGATTACCTGGGCACAAAATCTGGGACATAGTATAAATCTAGAACAATGGTCCAAGGTTTGGAAGACTAATATAAAATTTACCAGTTCGATTCCACTTAAGGAAAATATTTATAAAATGTTTTACAAGTGGCATATGTCACCAGTTAAAATAGCTAAATGTTAACAGAAAGCAACTAACATATGTTGGAAATGTAAGCAAAATGTAGTGACCTTTTTCACATGTGGTGGCTTTGTGATAAAGCAAAAAAATATTGGAGGAAGATACAATCAATAATACAAGAAATAATAAAGAAGTACCCCTTAAACCAGAGCTATTCTTACTAAATATTATCCCAGAGATGTACAACAAACCAGAAAAACACCAGATTATACATATAGTGACTGCAGTGAGGATTTTATTAGCCAAATGTTGTAAATTAGAAAAAATACCTTCAAGGGAAGAATTCATACAGAAATTATTAGATATATCTGAAATGGACAAATTAACAACCCTGTTAAAAGAAAAAGGTGAAGATACTTTTGAAGAATTGTGGTCGAGATTCTATGAGTGGTTGGGCTAAAGAAACAATTTGTTATGTAGACTCAAGGTGTTTTATTTGAACTGTAAACTATTGGGAGATTCTCTGTATTTTCAAGAGATCTGTCAAATATGTAATTTGTTGTGTACGTAGAAAACTCCTTAAATAAACAAGCAACCATTGTAATGATTTGGAGGTGTTGATATCTTGTTCTTTTTTTGCTTTAAAACATTTTATTTTATTAGAAAAGTACAGAATCTTAACAAAGCATATCAAAATCCGTTTGCATAATTATGGCTGACCACAAAGACACAACTGAAAACAGCCACCAAAGCATTTGGGAAGCATCTGCATTAAATACCTATTTCCAGCAGAAGTACTGGCTGAAACCATTTCAGTTGTAAAAACATTTAGATTTTACATTAACAACTTTATCCCCCACTTTTCTTTCAGTACCAGAGTTAATTCAAGTCACCACACCAAATAAACCACGCACGGAAGACATGAATTCGGTTTGCACTTTATCAATCAAACCTTATTAGGAGAAGCAACCATAAACTAATAATTTGGTTGGTATTTACAATATTGAACAACAATTTAAACAAGAACTAAAAACACAAAATGGGAAGTTAAAAGGCCAGTAAATGAACAATATTTCATTTATTTTGTGTTTTGTAGTTTGACAAAGGAGTGCGAGCGACTGATAGGTTTATTTAATATAATGAGACAATGGATCAATTTTACAAAAAATAAAATGAAAATAAAAGTACCAAGTGCAACAGATCATTGAGCCAACAAAAGGCTAAAAAAAAAAAAAGAGGAATATCAGCAAAGTATCACCTGGAGACCTGCTGGAATTATCACTTGCAGGTTTCCTTCCAAAAAAGATGATGCCGTGTGTCTAAGTCTCACTGCCTTAGCAATACAAACAGCAGCTGTGACTAGTGCAGGAAACAACAGTGAGGGGGGAAGAGGAAAAAAAAACAAGTAGAGAAGAACTATTTCCACTAAAATTTGTGCAAATTCTCCAGTAAAACACAAGGAACAGTAGTTATTACTGGACACACTGTGGCACTATTCACATTTTTTTTAAATGCACTGTGAAATTCCGCTGCTCTGCATAAAGTCCTTTGCTTCTGTACAAAGTCTCAGGGGACGGGGGGGGCTAGATCCTTATCTGAGACTCTCTTGTTCCTCTGATTTAGTGCCAGTGTTTCCCAGAGACTGAACCATTTCCCCTGTGGAGTCTTCAGCTGATTCCTCTGTCAGATGCACACCCCCTTCGGGCAACTCGGGGTCCCCCTGTCCTGCAAAGGAAGTGCCCAGCTGCGGCTCTCCTCTGGCCAAGTCATCAGTGTGGCTGACAGAACTAGTCTCACTCAATCCGTCAGAGCCCTTCATGGACCTTTTAAACCGTTTTTGGCCTGAAATGAAAGGGTTTGTAGGGTTAGACGACACACACATGGCAAACCTCTTTGTATTTAGCGGTCTGACGTTAGGATCTTTTGAGTGGTTGTTTTTTTTTAATTATTAAAAAAAAATTACTATAAAAAACCACAATACAAAATGGCGACTCTTTGTCAACGATTACACAGTGAATAGAAGCATAAAAAGTCAATATATATAAAAAAAGGGTCTCACTTAGGAAATCTAGACTAACCAAATACCAGTAACTTGTATTTGGCTTTAGATATAGTTTCCCAATCAAAGGTATCAATGTCTATTTTATCTAAGATAGGGTACCAGATATTTAGAGGGTTGGAAAAGTCACTCTCATTTTGGTTATTGGAGTGATAAATTGAGAAATTGTCCAGCATGAATAGATCCCATTTATACCACCACTGAGTTATATTTGGCACCTTAGTATCTTTCCAATACTTTGCAATTAGAATTTTAGCCGCTGTGGAAAGAATACTGAATAATTTTTTAACTTTTTCAGGAGGACCGTCACAGGGCCACAAACCGAGGAGAAGAACAGCCGGCGATCTTTTGAGTGTTTTAAAAAGTAGTCTTGTGTGTCTACTGCCCAAAATGGCTTTCAACAATCATTCAAAAAGCAAGAGATTTCATACTGATGATTTGTGTCCAGTTGCCACAGTTAATATTAGGGCACAATATTAGGGCAAAAAAGCATTTTGACATGACGGTATCCTAAGTGCTAAAGGCCTACCGAGACCAGCGAAACACGTCTTGTTAGTAACCTTTCTAAAACAGGATGGATGAGGAAGACTTACCAGGCAACCTCTGCTTTGTTTGTGCAGATGTGGGAGTTGGAGGCGGGGTGACCCCAGTACCCTGCACTTTGGATACATAAGTGGGCTCTGTTGATGCAAGAGAACCTGCCAAAGAAAGAGAGCATGCCATCAACTCCAGGTACCCTGCCACAACTAAAAACCTGCTATTGTGGGCTAGGGCTTCCTTCTGCCTGCAGAAATGAATAAGGGAAAAAGTGATTAAGAGAAAACGTAAAGGACAAAAGCCAGGGGATCTTGGGCAAGAGCAGTATTTTAGTTCCCTTATTTTTCAACAATCAACATATCTAATTCTCAACATGGCTCCATCTGTGGATACCAAAATCCCAAGACTGGGACCATGAACAGAAAAGACAGATGTTTCAACAAACCTGAGAATAACCGCGGGGGTTTGCAGAAAAATCCAAAAGGAATTATAAAAAAGGATTGTTTCCCAATAATGGAAATATTTATTTATTTATTTATTTTGGATTTATATCCAGCCCTTCCAAACAGCTCAGGGCGGCTAACATACGGCTAGTGCCAGGTTAAATTGGTAAAATACAATAAAACAGCGTTAAACATCCACAATAAAATCCCATAGACAATATTTAAGGTGCTCCCAATTCGACGGCCAGCTTTATTAAGAAGCGAGGACTCCAGCAATTATGTTCTACCTGCTTCCGCCAGGCAACGCATACCCCCTATAGTAGGGGTAAATGGTGGAACAGTACCACGGTGGTGGAATAGTGGTGGCGGCGGCTCCTACTCGAAAGCCTGGTGGAAGAGCTCCGTCTTGCAGGCCCTGCGGAACAGCACAAGGTCCCGCAGGGCCCGGATTTTCCCCGGGAGCTCGTTCCACCAGGTAGGAGCCACCACCGAAAACGCCCTGGCCCTAGTAGGGGCAAACTTAACGTCTCAGGGGCTTGGAACTTCCAGGAGATGGAGACTCCCTGATCGTAGTGCTCTTGAGGGAACATAAGGGGAGAGGCGGTCCCTTAGGTAAGCCGGACCCCGGCCATTCAGGGCTTTAAAGGTAAGAACCAGCACCAAACCGGCCTCTGAAACAAATTAGAAACGTTAGAAACAAATGTCCTCTGAGAGGCTATTGTGGGGGTTACTAGACAACCAAAACAACAATGCCAGCCTTCAAGCTTTGGTTTTAGTTAGTAAAAGGCAGAAGGACCCTTTTCTGGGCTGTTTTGGCCTTCCAATCCACCCTTGCTCTTCTCTCCCCTGCCCTGGAGACAGGACTCATTGGGAAGGTGCCTTGCTACCACACAACGTGCTTGACTCATCAAGGCCCAGTGGTTACCATCTGGTGTCTCACTACTATTTCACAGCAGCCACTGCACAAGAGCCAGTATGTGTAGTGGTTAGTGTGTCAGACCAAGGTTTGCATCTTCATTCTGCCATGAATTGACGTCACTCACTGTCAGTGTAACCTATATCACAGGGCTGTTGTGGAGATAAAATGGAGGAGAGGATAACTACATAAGTTACTTTGAAGCCTTCCCATTGGGGAAAGGTGAAGTATAAATTAATTAAATAAAGCTGAAGTCTAGAGGGACAAGGAAAGTTGGTGGGTGGGAAGGAGAAAGGAGACTGGGGAAAAGGCAGAGGATATTAGGGCTGCCAGGAGGAGATAAACAGAAAATAATGTAGGAATCAGATAACATGGAAATGAGGTGAACTCTGCAAGTCCTTATGGGTTCCTTGCTTGTATATTGCACCAAGACTGTGAATATATAAAAAATATTTCTTCCAGTTTAATGACTGAATGTAAGACATATGTTTGTGTTGTGTTGGTAAGGGAAGAAATCAAGAAAAACCTGTTTGCAGCAGCTGAATAACATCTCGGCTGATTTCGTTTTTTCCTCTATCTTCAGGTGTGGCCTAGTTTAATGTACCAGAATCTGAAGGTTTGGCCCTTAGTCTCTCTCTGGCTACCAGCCTAAGGATGGCCAGTGCAGCAAATGAGGTCCTGTCTATAGGATCTGTATGATCTGTTTTGCCTTGCTTGAGTTATGGTCAATATTTGGTTTGCTTTGGAAATTTCTGTAAGGTGTTCTGGGTCCGCTTTGAGCAAAAAAGCATAAAAGTGCAATAAAAATTAGATGTCTTTTAATGTAGTTTTCCCAATACCAGGAATTCAAAGACTGAATTGGAAATGATGACCCCATTTTTCATATATGGGACTCAGCCTTGTGGGGAATACAAAACACCCTATTCATCTCCCATTTGCCTTTTCTCCTGTGACTCTAAAATAATTTATAAACACACTTTAACCCTCGACCTCCCCCAGCCTTCTTAATCATCACATAAAGGTAAAGGTTCCCTTGCTCGAAAGCCAGTCGAGTCCGACTCTAGGGTTGCGGTGCTCATCTCCGTTTCAAAGCCGAAGAGCCAGCCCTGTCCGAAGACGTTTCCGTGGTCATGTGGCTGGCATGACTAGACACCAAGGCGCACGGAACGCTGTTCCCTTCCCACTGAAGTGGTCCCTATTTATCTACTTGCAATTTCTTGCTTTCGAACTGCTGGGTTGGTGGCAGGAGCTGGAACTAGAGACGGGAGCTCACTCCATCATGCGGCACCCCGGGTCTCGAACTGATGAACTACTGACCTTCCACAGCCTGCAGTTCAGCGTCTTAACCACTTGAGCCACCACAGCTCATCACATACTCTGGTGTTAATGGATGTAGGGTGCTGCCAAATAATATAGGAACACAAGATGCAAGGAGGAAAGCAACTCTAGTTAGCCTTCCCATACTAAACACATGGCTTGCTGGTTCTAGTGAGATACAGCAGATCCCTCTTTAAGAAACAAACAGCCAGGTAAGTCTTTTTGGCACAGCCTTGGGAGACTGTCTAACCACCACTTGCCCTGAGGGACAAATGAGGGATTAACCTGTTGATGATTCTTTCAATGGGAGACCCAAGAGAGTGAACAGAGGCCTTTCTACAAGTGAAGTAAATGATTCAGTGCTGTCGCTGTCCAGTGCTGTGGAAAGACGCTTGCATGCACATGGGATGCAGTAAAAAATAAATAAATCTAAGGACCAGGAAGATTAGAGAATTTGGGAACAAACTGTTTCCCCTCCCCTGTATTTTATTCTCTAAACATATGTCTATCCTCCAACGCCACTGCACCTGAACATGGTAGTGCTTTGAAATATTCATTGGTAATATTACTGGTGCAGTTTAATTCCAACTGGAGCTGCGGTGGCTCAAGTGGTTAAGATGCTGAACTGCAGGCTGTGGAAGGTCAGTAGTTCAGCAGTTCGAGACCTGCGTGCCGCATGACGGAGTGAGCTCCCGCCTCTAGTTCCAGCTCCTGCCAACCTAGCAGTTCGAAAGCAAGAAATTGCAAGTAGATAAATAGGGACCACTTCAGTGGGAAGGGAACAGCGTTCCGTGCGCCTTGGTGTCTAGTCATGCCAGCCACATGACCACGGAAACGTCTTCGGACAGGGCTGGCTCTTCGGCTTTGAAACGGAGATGAGCACCGTAACCCTAGAGTCGGATTTGACTGGCTTTCGAGCAAGGGAACCTTTACCTTTACCTTAATTCCAACTCACCTGCTGTTAGGTCAAATGTTCTTCCCTTTGGTGAAGCATGAAATGGAGAAAACCAGTTCAGCACAGAACCCACAACTGGAATCTGCCGGAGCAGCCCCTGTGAAAACAAGTGGATGGGGGGGGGGGACACCCTCATTCTCTAGCACCAGCACAGTTTGTGTTTCGAGACAATGAGTCTTAAAAAAATAAACATACTTTGTAGACATAAGAATATGTTTTGGGCTGAAAGACAAGCACTGCATAAAATATCCAATTATAGTAGCAGTGAGGAAAGATATGAAAATACCACCTTGTATCAATTTAAAAGTTGCGGCACGATCTTTGCTAGTTGTGAATTAACACCACAGGTGAAAACCAAGAAGAGTTACCCAAACATAGGGATGCATCTGGTCCAATGTCTGGGGCTGACATTTTAAGGATCTCAGGCCTGTTTTTTCACCATTTAATGGGTTTTCCACAGACAACGGGAGGGAGGGGAGGGAGACAGCTCTTTCATGCAGCTGGGATCACATGTGAGAGGAAGCTGTCTGTCTGTCCAATTGAGATCATTATCTCATAGCCCATAGCTTTCTGACCATGTGCAAAGAGGGAAGAAAGCAGGCTTGGCTGCAGCTTGACTGCACATCAGAGCAAAGGTGCTGCTGGGGGTGTACCTCTGGCTGGTCTAGTCTGCCTGTGCCTTGGATTACTTCAGTTACCTGCCAGAAAAAAAACCTTCTTGTTTTGTGCTAGGTTTTGTTCTATGTTTCGTTTAAAGGCTCGTGATGTTTGATTGGGGTCTCCTGTTTTATTTTGTTTTTTGAAATTTTAACAGGATTTCTGGTTGGGGGGGGGGCTTACTAGGCTGTTGCTGTTTTAAAAAGCTTAAACTTCCAAAACAATTAAGTCCACACCAAAGCCTGATACAGCAAGCCTGCTTCTTGTAATTCCCTTGATCCAAAATGCTTCAGGGGAAGATGGCTGCCTTTCTGTCAACAGGACGTGCAGACACTGTTTCCAACAGTCCATGCACTGGTGCAGTGGCTGCATCAAGTCCCTGGAACTTCCCAACCAAGAAGAACATATCTGTGTTGCTGACCATGTGTTACCTATGTATCAAGTGCAGCCCTACCAAGGCCCCAGTCACATGGGCCAGATATCGCGCAGGGGGGGTCAACTTGCTGTTCTTCTATTACCTAGCCCTGGTCTTTGAGACTGATTGATCTGGTCTTCCTGAAGGTCAACTTGCTGCTTTTCTATTACCTAGCCCTGGTCTTTGAGACTGAGTGATCTGGTCTTCCTGAAGGTCAACTTGCTGTTCTTCTATTACCTAGCCCTGGTCTTTGAGACTGATTGATCTGGTCTTCCTGAAGGTCAACTTGCTGCTTTTCTATTACCTAGCCCTGGTCTTTGAGACTGAGTGATCTGGTCTTCCTGAAGGTCAACTTGCTGTTCTTCTATTACCTAGCCCTGGTCTTTGAGACTGATTGATCTGGTCTTCCTGAAGGTCAACTTGCTGCTTTTCTATTACCTAGCCCTGGTCTTTGAGACTGAGTGATCTGGTCTTCCTGAAGGTCAACTTGCTGTTCTTCTATTACCTAGCCCTGGTCTTTGAGACTGATTGATCTGGTCTTCCTGAAGGTCAACTTGCTGCTTTTCTATTACCTAGCCCTGGTCTTTGAGACTGAGTGATCTGGTCTTCCTGAAGGTCAACTTGCTGTTCTTCTATTACCTAGCCCTGGTCTTTGAGACTGATTGATCTGGTCTTCCTGAAGGTCAACTTGCTGCTTTTCTATTACCTAGCCCTGGTCTTTGAGACTGAGTGATCTGGTCTTCCTGAAGGTCAACTTGCTGTTCTTCTATTACCTAGCCCTGGTCTTTGAGACTGATTGATCTGGTCTTCCTGAAGGTCAACTTGCTGCTTTTCTATTACCTAGCCCTGGTCTTTGAGACTGAGTGATCTGGTCTTCCTGAAGGTCAACTTGCTGTTCTTCTATTACCTAGCCCTGGTCTTTGAGACTGAGTGATCTGGTCTTCCTGAAGGTCAACTTGCTGTTCTTCTATTACCTAGCCCTGGTCTTTGAGACTGAGTGATCTGGTCTTCCTGAAGGTCAACTTGCTGTTCTTCTATTACCTAGCCCTGGTCTTTGAGACTGAGCAATTGGTCTTCTTGAAGGTCAACTTGCTGTTCTTCTATTACCTAGCCCTGGTCTTTGAGACTGAGCAATTGGTCTTCTTGAAGGTCAACTTGCTGTTCTTCTATTACCTAGCCCTGGTCTTTGAGACTGAGCAATTGGTCTTCTTGAAGGTCAACTTGCTGTTCTTCTATTACCTAGCCCTGGTCTTTGAGACTGAGCAATTGGTCTTCTTGAAGGTCAACTTGCTGTTCTTCTATTACCTAGCCCTGGTCTTTGAGACTGAGCAATTGGTCTTCTTGAAGGTCAACTTGCTGTTCTTCTATTACCTAGCCCTGGTCTTTGAGACTGAGCAATTGGTCTTCTTGAAGGTCAACTTGCTGTTCTTCTATTACCTAGCCCTGGTCTTTGAGACTGAGCGATCTTGTGCTTGTGCCTTCAACTTCCCATTCTGAGGGAAGACACTGCAAGGATGACTTGCATAGCCCTGCCTGTGGAGACAGTCAGGGGTGTAACCCAGTTTGGGATACCTGCTCGCACTGATGAAGGAGCTGTTAAAACAGTTCTTGAGTAGAGGGAAAGGAATGGGAGTGCAGTACATGGCGGAGATCAAACGGTTTAACACTATGGCTTGGATTCTATAAACACTGCACAGAAGGGATCAATCCTGTCCCACTGAATGCCCCCCATACCAAACCTCCTGTCTGTAGCCTTCCATGTTGCATCACTTAACCTTCAGAAGCAACTTTTTAAAGGGGGTTGGGGGGGGTTCCCACTGGAAAGGAGAGGTGGCAGACAATGCTCCCTCTAAGCTGTAGAGTCTTGTGAGCAAAAATTCTACTTTGTGAGCTTATCGGCATTAAGGTTTTGAGCGAGCGATTTGGCTACTGCATACATTAGTCTGCTCTGGAGCCCTCCTTCCTGAGCGGAGACAAAAATGTGTGAGCCGGAGGCTAAAAAACTGTGAGCTAGCTCACACTAACTCAGCTTAGAGGGAACACTGGTGGCAGATCAATCTGCAGGATCCAAGCCACTGTTGAATCAGTGAAAACTATTGGCTCCAAGGTATTCAGAGGGCACGTTCAATGTGATATATCGTTGCAATTTACGGTTAATAGACAAAAGTCATCGTGCACCTTTCGATACGGACATATTTACATAATGCTACAAGGAAACGGCTTTATCCCAAAGGCACTTACCTCTTCCAGGAGTCTTTCCTCATTTGCTTTTTGCAGCTGAACCTGAGCTTCCTGGATGCCTTTGCACACGATTTCTGTCATGTTTTCCAACAGCTGATTAGAAAGAGGATGGTATGGGGTGTTAGTGCTTTGCCTGTTTGTTTTTTAATTCCGGCCTAGGAGAACCAGCTCAGGTCTGCCTTGATTAAAACAATCTAAATAACACTACAGAACTGCTTTCTGATAACATTTCAATAAACATCTGGAAGTTGGTTGTACTGAGTGAGACTGCTTCCCTCCCTCACTTGCTGTTGTCTACTTTGACAAGCAGCAGCTTTCCGTGATCTTGTATGGTGGAAGGGGTTCCTGCCTGGGACTCTATTTGCTGCATCAAGCCAGGCATGTTCTGCAGGAATGGCATGCGCTGCAGTATTCGTTCTGAAAACGTACATGCCACCACTCCAGAGACCTGTGCTTGACATCTGGGCCTCCTGTACCTTGAGAGAGACCATGAAATTTTAGTGTGGTGTCACTTAATCTTTGACAGTGTCTACATATTTCCTCTTCAACAAAACTACATGAAGCCAGCCCCTCCCCACCACATATAGTAACTTATAGAGTTGTGTGAGTGAGATATAGCCAGACTAAGTACCATCCAAGCCCCTTTCACAAGAAGAAGAAGAAGAAGAAGAGGAGGAGGAGGAGGAGGAGGAGATGGAGGAGGAGATTGGATTTATACCCTGCCCTTCACTACCCGAAGGAGTCTCAGAGCGACTTAGAAACTCCTTTCCTTCCCCTCCCCACAATAGACACCCTGTGAGGTAGGTGGGGCTGAGAGAACTCTGACAGAAACTGCTCTTTTTCAAGAACAGCTCTAATCAGAGCTACGGCTTGCCCAAGGTCATCCAGCCAGGTGCAAGTGGAGGAGTGGGGAATCAAACCCGGTTCTCCCAGATTAGAACCCGCGCACTTAACCACTACACCAAACTGGCTCTCACAAGATAAAGGGTGGTCTTAGTGTAAAAGATAAATATAAAACTTAAACATAAAACTTACAAATAAGGTGGGAGAAAGGGGAAGTTAGGGGAAAACTGGAAAATTAAGAGGAAGAAAGGGAGGGAAAAGGAAGGAAGGAAGGAGGCTTTTAGCCAAAATCTCAACTTATCTTTTGAACTCAAAGATCGTCATTCCAGCTTTATTTCTGTCTCTTCACACACGCTCACTTGTTCACTCACTGTTCACTCTCTAACAAGTCAAGCAATTTTCCTCTGCTCTTCACAGCCTACTCACTACTATACCTCCATAACTTTACACATATGACTCTAATCTTCAGTAAGTCTGATAAAAATACAAAATAAACTAGCTAGGTAGCTAATCTCTCTTATATATAATTGCTGAATGGTAGTGGCTTCTGGCCTATGGGGTGGTGAGATTGCATGCGCTCCCTCAGCCATTGGCCTGCCAGCTGCCAGTCAAGACTACTGGCATGCCATTGGCCAGGTGTGCTCCTCTTTCCCACCCACTCCCGTCAGGCACTGTTCTCTGTCAGAAGCTCTGTGTCTCCCGACGAACACAGTTCTCTAGCTTAGCTCCTGAGTGTGGGACAAAGGTTTCCCTCAGTGGCTGTTGTGAGGACTCATAGGGTTGCAAGTTCCAGGTAAGGAAGCCAGAGTTTGGGGAGGGGAGAGGGGAGGCCTCAGCTGAATAGAATGCCATAGAAACCACTGGCCAAAGCATTCTAACTTCTCCCTCAGTGGCTCGTTAGGCAACCAAACTTGGTTCTGCTAGTAAAGAGACAAAGGAACAAAACCCTTTCTACAGCTCTGTGAAAAACACATTAGGCCCAGTCCTGAGTATGGTTGCCAGCTCCAGGCTTGGAAATTCCTGTTGAGTCCCCCCCCCAAAAAAACGCTGCCCTCCACAGGACCCACCCCCCAAATCTCCAGGTATTTCCCTACTCAGAGCTGGGAAGCCTACTTTCCCCTCAGTGCCTGCTGCTG